CCCCCCCCCCCCCCCCGCATGACCCCCCCCCCCCCCCGTGGAGTCCCTGGGGGCCCACGACCTCGACGAGGTCCGTGCTGCGAGTCGGCGCTACAAAACCAGGGTTGCTGTCAGTACGGGTGGCTTTCATATGAGGCACTTTTCTTTGCTCCCGGATGACTCGCTCAGGTCCCTCCTGGACCTCTTCAGGATCATGGAAACCTCCTCCCTCGTCCCCGAGCAAGTGCACATAATCACGACGATGCTTCTTCCCGAGCCTGTGGGAGGCTTTCGCCCCATCGGGTTTTTTTGGTGGCCCCTTCCGCCTATGGGGGCGGCTTAGGTGGCCAGCGGCCGTGTCGTGGGAGCTTCTTCATCAAATGCCCTGGTTCGCGGCTGGGAAGTGCACGGGGGCAACGGACACGGTCTGGAGGCAATCCCTTCTGAGCGAAACAGGGGTTGCTAGAGGACAGTGTGCGGTCACGCTCCTGTGGGACTTCTACAAGTACTACGACACTTTATCTATCGACCAGGTGCTTGATCGATGCGGCAGGCTCGTTTTTTTCTTTCCGTGCGGCTCGCCTGGCATGCCAGGGCTATCGCGGCCCTCGGCACCTCAGCCTCAATGGCGCGACCACCATCGCGATGTGAGCCAACAAGGGCCTCGTGGCGGGCTGCCCCTTTGCCACCGCCTTCATCAGAGTGAACTCGCTGGAGGGGCTGGACTCGATAGTCTGGCACCCTTGCGTGGATTACAGCCTCTACGTGGATGACAACGGCATCCATGCTGTAGGGAATTTCAAAGAAGTTCTGGAAGGGGCGGTCCAAGGGTCCGAACAACTTGTCCGAGTGATCAGCGAAGATATCGGTGCGTCGCTGTCTGAAGACAAAGCTGTTCTCCTTGTGTCCAACAAAGCCCTGGGCCATGCAATTCAAAAGCGTCTGGGCCCCTCGCTCGCGGGCCCCTTCGTTCCCGCCGCCCCGAATTGCGGCGTTGCCGATGCGGTCGGCACTCCTTTGAGGCACCGCGGGAGAGACGACAAGGCGAAGCAGTGACGGGCTGGGGCTAAGATGCGGGCCCGTCGCCTGGGTAAGCTCACACGCCAAATCGGTCGGCGGGCTCAGAACATCTGGGTCGCGGGCCCGCTCCCTGCGGCCACCTACGGGGCAGAGGTTTTTGGCGTCTCGGATGCCGAGCTTCTGGGCCTCAGGAGGTCCTTCGCCTCTGTCCTCAAGCCGTCGGCTGGGGATAGAAGCTTGTCTATTCTTCTGCTTTTGGAGCGCGACCCTACCTGGATCGCTCAAGTTGCTCCTAGTCTTAGGTGGCACAAAGAGGTGGAACACAAAGTGCCATGTGCATCCCTCCACCCTCCCCTTCAGCAGCCTCCGTGATTCCTGGGGGGGGGGGGGGGGGGGGGGGGGGGGGGGGGGGGGGGGGTGCGTCTTTTCCAGAAAGCTTCGGACCTGGCGCAGTGTCGGCGGCCCAGGGATGGCCATGAGAAAATCCCTCGATCGCATCCGCTGGGCCATGAATGATTTTTGCACCCTGGTCAGTGACTAAGGCCGCGAGGTGTCCTTGACGCTTCAGTCGCCTGGCATGTTGAAGCAGATGCTCCGCGAAGCTGTGTTTCGAAGGCTCGAGGAGGACGTCGGCATGAAAGTAGGTTTCCGCCAGAGGGCCTGTTTTGATGTTGTTGCGAGGCACCTCGCCTCCAAGAAATATTCGCCCCTTGAAGAAGGTGCCCTCAGGACCGTGTGTACGGGGGCCTTATGGACCAGGGCCTCCGCGATCTCCAAGGGGGACTTGCACTCGGAGCTTTGTCCGTTGGGATGCGGTCAGCGAGGTGCGCTTTTTTCACCGTATCTGGAAATGCCCCGCTGTTCAGGGAACCAGAGAGGACACGGTGGAGCGCAAGACCTTGGCCAGTGCGAGATCAGGGGCCCAGTGCACGCGCCTCTGCCGCAGACTCCACAGTGTGCCGAATTTTGTTCACATACTGCGGCCACGATGTGTATCGTGGGCCCTTCAGAGGTTTTCTCATATTGCCAGAATGTGACTTCTCAGTTTAAGTCAAGTCACGCGGACCGTGTCAATTTCCGCAAAGTTTACGCAGGCCACGCGCTCCAGGCGCAGAGCCACGACGGAGCCAGTCTTATTTCTGAACATTATGAGGTCAAGGCGCATCAGTCTCTCAACGATGACAGCCTCACTGACCACGAACGTTTCATAAGGGTTGGCAACGACTTCGCAGACCGAGGAGCGAAGGCCGCCCATGCACTACATGAGCGCGACGACGAGGCTTTAGCCACGGTCGATGAGCAGGTCCATTTTGTCTCTGCTTTCTGCCGCCTCGTCATGAAGATTTTACCGCTTTTCCCGCCTCTTAAGGCGGATGGCGAGATGGAGTACATACCGATTTCAAAGGACGCTGTGGGCAGAGTCGCGCCGGAGGAGTGCAATGTTTCGTGGATCGCTGGGCTCTGGCGACGCGTCAAGTGTTAGCGTGCTTCGAGGCGGTCAGACTTTTCGACCTCCCTCATGAGCGCACACAGGCCCCCGCCCAGAAGATGCCTGGGGATCATACTCGGCCTTGACATGGAACGGGTGGCGGGCCAGCGCAACAGCATTGTTTGTTTCTCGTGTTCTGACGGAGCACACCTCTTCATCTGTTTGCAGTGTGCGTCATTCGTTTCCACTGGCACTCCACGGAAGTCTAACCTGTACAGATGTCGGTGCAAAGGTTTCCGTGACAGCCGACAGCAGTGGAAGTGGAATCGCGTCCTCCGAGGGATCCACCCGCAGCACGGCAAGAACGGGATCAAAGTTTTTATTGGGGCTCCCGAGGACGACTGTCCTGGAGAATGCTCCCTGCACCCGTTCACCGATGCCGCAGCTTCGGGGGGCGTTGACGGAGGTCCGCATAGCCCATCCTCAGCAGCGCAGCAGGCAGACGACTTTAACGCAGCCAGTCACGGCCCCACAGGCCGCGACGACCCACCTGCCGTGCCAGAGCATCCCGACGGGTTCGTGCGTCCGGTTGTTTCTCGCCAGGAGGATGCTCTGGATCGCCAGGAGGACGAAGCCCCGCTTTTAGTTCGCCAAGTGTTGTCTGGCCCTTTGCACGAGACCTGCCAACCTGGCGCCTCACTATTCAAGGGGCGACCACCGCCTCCTCTGCGTACTGCCGCGCAAGATGTAAAGCTCGAGCCGACTCGAGCCACCTCACACCTCGGCAGCCTAGGGTTGGGTGAGGACGCTGCCGTCCGCGCAACTCCCGCTGCCTCCAGCGCCGACGCGAGCTGTGTAGCCCCTTCGGTCGTCCCAGAGCAGCCTCAGGTTGTGGTGTTGACCTGGAGCCGTCAGGAGAAGGACGCCCTGGAACGACAGGAAGACGAAGCTCCGCTCGCCTCTCTTTTAGTTTCTCCTGCCAATAGGGAGGCCAGCCTGCCTGGCGCCCTTAGGCAGAGTGGGCGAACACCGCCTCATCACCACAGGGCTGCCTCGCAAGTTGCGAGCCGTGCAGCCCCTGCCCTAGTGCCTGGGCTACCCGCCTCCGTGTCGGGGTCTGTCCAGGTTCGTGCTGAGGATGCCCAGGCACTAGGGATAGACGTGGCGCCGCTCGAGCCTGCTCCGTCTCGGACTGCCACTTTTCAGGAGAAAGTGCAACACCTTCTTCGAGCTGCAGGAGGTTTTCCGCCGCCAGAGGCGGCGGGGAGCCGAGGGGAGAGCACGGACGGGTCAGACTAGGCCACGGGGGCGCCGCCCCGGCAGTGGTCTAGCAACTTCGTGCGAACCCCATCGCTCACCCCCTGCAGCTGGCGCTGCGAGGAGAGGCAGCCGTCGCCGCCACTGCTTCTCCTTCCTCACTGGCCTGAACTGCTGGGCAGACGCGGCTGGAGCCCCTCGGGCAAAGCAAAAATGTGTAGGTCCTCCTGAGCTCCTCCTCCTCCTCCTCCTCCCGTTCCTCCTCCTCCTCCTCCTCCTCCTCCTCCTCCTCCTCCTCCCCCTCCCCCTCCTCCAGATCCGATTCGAGCTCGAGATGCCGACGAGCCCATTGTGGCCCGATGCCTGCACGAAGGCTGTTGTCAATCCTGGCGCGGCGGGTTCGTTTCGACGCCGACTCCGCGGCGGTGCGGCCATATCGACGCGCGTTCCGATTCGGCTCGACTTCCCGATTCGATGCTGACTGGTCTCATCGAGACTGAAAGAAACCCCAGCCCCAACAAAACGAGGGAGGCGTGGCCTCGCGGAGGTGCCCGTCTTTGCATCAGGGGTAGCATATATGTGTATATATACACATAAATGTAAACACATATATATATATATATATATATATATATATATATATATATATATATATCAGTATATCTATATACATATATATAGACTGTGGGCGGTTTGGTTTGATACGTCTGCAGAGAAGACCACCTATCCCTGGTGTTTCTGGCCTCTTCACTTCTGGTCGCCTCCCAAAGGGCTTGGGGCCCTCTTGTTTTGCTAGCCATGACCCCGCCCGTTCCAAGTCCGCTCCGCAGCAGCCCCCGTGGGCCCCTCCCGGGGTCCACCGCGGGGCCGCCGCTCGAGGCGGAGCCGGCCTCCGTCGATTCCCCAGAAAATATGGGAAAGTACAAGAACTGGGGGGGGAGACAACGAAACCCAGAGAATATGAGAAAACACGGGGAATCCTGTGATTTGTGTGTATTTGTGTTGTGTACCCTTGGGCCCCCTGAGGAAGGGCGAGGTGGGGTTCACTTCGATCCGGGTTCGCAGGGGGCCTCCCATCCGGGAGGCGCCCCCGAGGAGGGGACGACCTCCGCCGAGGGAGAGTTGCCGTGGCTTCGGCCGGGCCTCCTCCGGCCCTCTCGCGTCGCGGACGCAGATCCTGCGGGGCGCGGGGGGCGAGGAGAGGACGGGCACGCCGGCGGTGAAGGGCTTCTGGCTGGAGGCGCTGGGGAACCACCCCGCTTTCGAGGGCGCCATCGAGGAGTGGGACGCCCCGGTGCTGGAGTACCTTCAGGACATGCGGGCAGCGCCAGGGGGGGTCACCGCCAGGAGGAGGGTCCCTCGCGGTCCGATCGCGGCGAGGCGACGCCGGTCCCAGCCTGCCCGATCCGATTCGGTACCGATGTTCTTCAGGAGAGGAAGAAACACACAGACACAATTAATCCTCGATTCCCCAGGTAAATATGGGAAAACATGGGAAGTGGTGGGGAAGACAGAGACCCAGAAAGTATAGGAAAATATGGTGAATATTTCCCCAATCAGAGCTTTCCTCTGTAGGGGTCCTAGCGGATTCGTATGGTTAGGTTAGGTTTGTCGACGATTTTCACGGCACGCCCGGGTGCCCGAGTGCCCAGGGGTGCCCGGGTTCCCGGGGGTGACCGGGTGCCCGGGCGTGCTTGGGGGTGCCCTGCAGGTGCCGGGGTGCCCTGGTGCCCGGGTGCCCCGGTGCCCGGGCGTGCCCAGGGGTGCCCGGGGGTGCCCTATAGCCCTATAGCCCAATAGCCCTACAACTCTATAGACCTATAGCTTTATGGCCCTATAGCTCAATATACATATAACGGCGCACCGGGTCCGGGGGCCCGGGGCCGGGACCCCACAAATGTCGCCCCGGGGGGCCCGGAGGCTCGTCGGGGCTTGCCGGAGGCCTCCCCGGTCAGACAAGACGGCCCCAGGAGCGCCCAAGACGGCCCAAGAAACTTCCAAGAGGCCTCCAAGAGGGCTCCGAGATGCTGAAGATGGCCTCCAGACGTCCAAGGACGCCCCCAAGAGGCCCCAAGAAGCCTCCAACATGCGTCCCAAGAGGGCCCCCAGACGCAAAAATTGGCCCATTCCCTTCGTAAAACGTACATTTTTCAACAAAGTTGCTTTTTGGGCTTTCCGACGTTACAGGACGGCCCAAGACCGCCCCAAGACGGCCCAAGAAGCCCCCAGGACAGCCGAATAGGGCCCCAAGACGGCCCAAGAGGCGCCTAAGATGGCCCAAGAGGGCCCCAAGACGGGCCCAAGAGGGGGCCCAGAGGGGGACCACGAACCGCAAGCTCGAGCCTTCCGCCCCAAGAGGCCGCCAGGAGGCCCCCAGGAGGCCCCTCAAGAGGCCCCAGGAGACCCCAGACGTCCAAGGACGCCCCCAAGAGGCCCCAAGAAGCCTCCAACATGCGTCCCAAGAGGGCCCCTAGACGCAAAAATTGGCCCATTCCCTTCGTAAAACGTACATTTTCAACAAAGTTGTCTTTTGGGCTTTCCGACGTTACAGGACGGCCCAAGAGGCGCCCAAGACCGCCCCAAGACGGCCCAAGAAGCTTCCAAGAGGGCCCCAGGACAGCCCAAGAGGGCCCCAAGACGGCCCAAGAGGCGCCCAAGATGGCCCAAGAGGGCCCCAAGACGGGCCCAAGAGGGGGCCCAGAGGGGGACCACGAACCGCAAGCTCGAGCCTTCCGCCCCAAGAGGCCGCCAGGAGGCCCCCAGGAGGCCCCTCAAGAGGCCCCAGGAGACCCCAGACGTCCAAGGACGCCCCCAAGAGGCCCCAAGAAGCCTCCAACATGCGTCCCAAGAGGGCCCCTAGACGCAAAAGTTGGCCCATTCCCTTCGTAAAACGTACATTTTCAACAAAGTTGTCTTTTGGGCTTTCCGACGTTACAGGACGGCCCAAGAGGCGCCCAAGACCGCCCCAAGACGGCCCAAGAAGCTTCCAAGAGGGCCCCAGGACAGCCCAAGAGGGCCCCAAGACGGCCCAAGAGGCGCCCAAGATGGCCCAAGAGGGCCCCAAGACGGGCCCAAGAGGGGGCCCAGAGGGGGACCACGAACCGCAAGCTCGAGCCTTCCGCCCCAAGAGGCCGCCAGGAGGCCCCCAGGAGGCCCCTCAAGAGGCCCCAGGAGACCCCAGACGTCCAAGGACGCCCCCAAGAGGCCCCAAGAAGCCTCCAACATGCGTCCCAAGAGGGCCCCTAGACGCAAAAGTTGGCCCATTCCCTTCGTAAAACGTACATGTTCAACAAAGTTGTCTTTTGGGCTTTCCGACGTTACAGGACGGCCCAAGAGGCGCCCAAGACCGCCCCAAGACGGCCCAAGAAGCTTCCAAGAGGGCCCCAGGACAGCCCAAGAGGGCCCCAAGACGGCCCAAGAGGCGCCCAAGATGGCCCAAGAGGGCCCCAAGACGGGCCCAAGAGGGGGCCCAGAGGGGGACCACGAACCGCAAGCTCGAGCCTTCCGCCCCAAGAGGCCGCCAGGAGGCCCCCAGGAGGCCCCTCAAGAGGCCCCAGGAGACCCCAGACGTCCAAGGACGCCCCCACGACGCTTCGCGTCACCAATTTCTTCTCACAACGATTCCTGGGTCTGTGACTCGACAGAACCTAAGCGCGCGCGAAGCGCGCGCGTGGTTCTAGTATTCATATGGTATGGTTAGGTTAGGTTTGCCGCCGATTTTCGCGGCACGCACGCCCGGGTGCCCCAGGGTGCCCGCGGGTGCCCGGGTGCCCGGGTGCCCGGGCGTGGGTGCCCGGGTGTGCCCTATAGCCTTATAGCCTTAATATATATATATATATATATATATATATATATAGCCCAAAAGCCCTATAGCCCTACAACTCTATAGCCCTATAGCTCAATAGCCCTATAGCCCCCTAGCCCTATAGCCCTGATTGTTTTTTTTTCTCCAGTACCATTTTAGTTGTGTGTATTTATTTGTGTGTCCTGGGGCCCCTTCAGTTCTGTCGATCCGGCTTGGCCCGACGCTTGCATGGGGCTGTTTATGTGTGTCCTGGTGCCGCCGATCCGATGCGATTCCGACTCCGTGCCGATGCCTTGGCATCGCTCGGACGTGTGCATTTTTCTTTCGGCGAGGACCATCGAGGAGCATCCTTGATCATTTGGCGAAAAAAACCATGCACGAAACCGACAAAAAGCACAGGGAATGGGCGTCCGAGCGATGGCCAGCTGCGGCCCGAGCTGCACTGTGCTCCCATTCGACGCGTCTTCCCGATCCGATGCTGGCTGATGGTCCTGCCACAGGGGGGGGGGGGGCTAGTGCTAAGTCGGGCCTGTCCCTCTACAGGAGGAATATTCCAAAATAGTTAAACAAATACTTGTTTTGAGTATTTATTGAATACTTTTTGGCCACTTGGGGCATTTGTTTCATTATTTCTCGTCCATAATCCCTCTGTAGGGGGACAGGCCCGACCTAACACTATGGGGGCGGGTGTTGCTAGTGCTCTGAGGATCGAGGTTCCAGGATGCAGTGGGGACCCATGCCGAGAAGAGCACGCTGCCTGCCCCCGGTGGTGCCCTGGGTTTGTCGTGGGCGTCGATAGCTCTGCCATGGAGAGCGCGACGCTCCCACGCCCAAGAAGTCAGTGGGCATCCTGGGGTTCAGGGTTGGGTTTCTCGTGGAACTTGGCGTCGCTCGGACGTGTGCATGTTTCCCTCGGCGAGGACCATCGAGGAGCATCCTTGATCATTTGGCGAAAAAACACGCACGAAACCGAACAAAAAAACACAGGGAATGGGCGTCCGAGCGATGGCGAGATGGGCATCCCGGGGTTCAGGGTTGGGTTTCTCGAGGAAGGTTTCCTGTGGACTGACCTCCGCTGTAAGAGCTCGACAAGGGTTCTGGACGTCCAGGGCCGTTTTGCGAGGGTGTCGCCAGAGTGCCCTGGGGGGCCCGTGCTCTGGGGAAGTGGCGCCGCCTCGAGGAGGCGGCGACCCCCCTCCTCCTCCTCCTCCCTTTCCCCCTTCTCCTCCTCCTCCTCCTTCTCCTCCTCCTCCTCCTACTCCTCCTCCTCCTTTTCCTCCTACTCCTCCTCCTCATCCTTCTCTTCCTCTTCCTCCTCCTCCTCCTCCTCCTGCTCCTCCTCCTCCTCCCCCTCCTCCTGCTCCTCATCATGCCCCTCCTCCTCCTCCTCCTCCTCCTCCTCCTCCTTTTCCTCCTCACCCCGTGGTGAACCCCCCCCGTTAGCACTGCCTGGGGCATCACGCAGCTCTCCTTGGACCCCGACGACTCCTCGAAGGGCTTCAAGCTCAGGTTTGAGTTCGCGCCGAACCCGTACTTTGAGGAGGCGGTGCTTTCGAAGGAGTACCACACGAAGGAGAGGTCGCATTGGACGGGCGAGATCGGGCTGACCGAGATCGTCGCGTCCAGCATCACGTGGAAGGCCGGCAAGGACGTCACCGTGGAGGTGGTGAAGAAGAAGGCCAAGGGCGGAGGCGCGAAGAAGGAGAAGCAGAAGGCAAAGGGCGGCAAGGAGGAGCCGCGCAACTCGTTCTTCCGGGTCTTCTTCAAGAGCCTCAAGGAGGACGGCCCCGTTCCCGACGACATCGACCTGGAAGCTATGGGCTTGGGCGACGATGACGAGGACTACGAGCAGGTCATGGAGATGATCATGGGCAACGACCACGACATGGGCTGCGCCGTCCGCGACAACATCATCCCCTACGCGGTGCGGTGGTACACGGGCGAAGCCGCCCCAGACATGGACGACGGCGACGAGGGGGAGGAGGAGGAGTCGGACGAGGGCGACACGTCGGAGGCCGACGAGGTGGACGACGACGAGGACGAGGACGAGGCCCCCAAGAAGGGCGGCAGGAAGGGCCCGAAGGGCGGTGCCGGCCCGAAGCGACAGGGCGGCGGAGCGGGCGGCGCGGGCGGCGCCGCAGCGGCCGGCGGGGAGGCGGGCAAGGAGGACTGCAAGCAGCAGTGACGCGGCGCGTGGGCGCAGGGGTCGACCTTGACTTATGTCGGGCGTGTCCCCCATACAGGGGGCTTTTCGACGAACAATAAAGATACCCCAACAAATGCAACAAAACGGTCAAAAGATACTAAACAATAGTCCCCAGACTATTTTTGGATTATTTTTTTTTTTTTTTTTTTTTTTTTTTTTTTTTTTTTTTTCTCATTTTTCGTCGAAAATCCCCCTGTATGGGGGACAGGCCCGACTTAAACTTTGACGGTGTTCTCTTGGCGATCTCGTGGGCCGTTTTCGTGCCGATGTCGCCTGGCAGCAGAGGCGGACGGAGAGGACGGCAAGAGGCGCAGCGGTCACGGAACACGAAAACGAAAGGGGCACCCGTCAGGGCGAAAACCTTGCGCGGGCGAGCGACAGCCGACCGAAAGCGGCAAACACCGTCTGTCAGGAGGGGAGAAACACACAGACACCATGAATCTTCGATCCCCCAGAAAATATGGGAAAATATTGGAAGTGGGGGGGGGAAGACAACAACCCAGACAAATATTGAAAAATATGGGGAATCCTGTCTATTTATATAATCGCTTCGCTCATTCCGCCGGCCCATGTAGCCTCATCTCTGCCGTCTGCCCGAGGGATCGTTGTCAATGCGGCGCTGCTAGGGTCTCTGGGCAGTCGTTTCGGGAGTCTCTTGGAGGCAGTGTTGAAGCCTCTTGTGGTCTCTTGGGGGCCGTTTAGGAGCCCTGGTGGGTTTTTTACCTAACAGCGAAGACTGATAGGTTTCTAGTTGACTCAAAAGAGCTCACAGATCACTCCACAGGGGGGTCCGGGCAGGTGTTGGGGAGTTGCCGGGCGGCAGGGTGCCGGGCTCGTTTTTCACCAACAGTCACACACTTCGTGCTCTTCGACTTCCCAGAACTCCATTCCCAGGCCACATTCTGAATACCCGGATGCAACAGTCACACACTTCGTGTTCTTCGAGATCCCAGAACGCCATTCCCGGGCCACATTTAGAATAACCAGATGCAACAGTCACACACTTCGTGCTCTTCGACATCCCAGAACGCCATTCCCGGGCCACATTCTGGAGGGCCGGATGCAACAGTCACACACTTCGTGCTCTTCGAGTTCCCAGAATTCCATTCCCGGGCCACATTTTGGATGCCCGGAGCCAACTGTAGGCCACTTCCTGGTCTTCGAGTTCCCAGAACTCCATTCCCGGGCCACATTTTGAATAGCCGGAGCCAACTGTAGGCCACTTCGTGCTCTTCGAGTTCCCAGAACTCCATTCCCGGGCCACATTTTGAATGCCCGTAGCCAACTGTAGGCAACTTCGTGCTCTTCGACTTCCCAGAACTCCCATTCCTGGGCCACATTTTCAGCAGGGGCAAGAGCACGACGAGGAGGAGGACGAGCAAGACCAGGAGGACGAGGACGAGCAGGAGCAGGACGAGGAGCAGGAGGAGCAGGAGAAGAAGGACGAGCAGGAGGAGGAGGAGGACGAGCAGGAGGAGGAGGACGACCAGGAGGAGGAGGACGACTACAGGGGGGGGGGAGGAGGAGGAGGAGGAGGACGGAGAGGGAGGAGGAGGAGGGCGGAAGAGGAGGAGGAGGAGGAGGAGGAGGAGGGAGGACGGAGGAGGAGGTGGGGGGAGAGTACCAGAGGAGGAGAACGAGGACCACCAGGAGGGGAGGAGGAGGAGGAGGAGGAGGAGGAGGAGGAGGAGAGAACACCACGAGGAGGAGGACGAGCAAGACGAGGAGGACGAGAACGAGACGACCAGGAGAGGAGGAGGAGGGGAGGGGGAGGACTACCAGGAGGAGGAGGAGGAGGAGGAGGAGGAGGAAGAGGAGGAGGAGGACGAGGAGGAGGAGGAGGAGGACGAGGAGGAGGAGGGGGGGGGAGAGCACCAGGAGGAGGAGAACGAGGACCACCAGGAGGAGGAGGAGGAGGAGGAGGAGGAGGAGGAGGAGGAGAGAGCACCAGGAGGAGGAGGACGAGCAAGACGAGGAGGACGAGAACGAGGACGAGCAGGAGGAGGAGGAGGAGGAGGAGGAGCAGGAGAAAGAGGAGGAGGAGGAGGAGGCAGGCTGAGGCTGAGGCTGTGACTGCGACTGCCGTTGCCGCTGCGACTGTCATCGCGAATGCGACTACGACTGCGAGAACAGCAGAATTCGACAACTGGATTTTCATCTGAATCTTAAGGGGAATGCTTTCAGATATGCTTCTACACATCGCTGTTAGGTTGCTTTGCCGGGATAATTTTTGACATTTGGGAGTTTCTTGGGGCCTGTGGTGGGTTTCTTGGGGGTTTGTTGGTGGTCTCGGAGTTGCACTGTAGGGCGGAAAGCTCGAAATGCCTTCGTGGGGGTGTGCTGGGCGTGGATGCTCACTCTGGGGTTTGTCGATGGGGGGGAGGGGACATTTAATGCAATGATGGAACCCTCGTCTCCGAGGGTGGCGGGCTTTGAATGCGATCGTTGGCTTTTTCTTGTCCTGGTGTGCGCTGTCTAC